AATTTTAAATATGGATGATATTCGGTACATTAAATCGCAAAACTGTCCGTGCAAAACTGACGTGCCCGGGGTTGGGAAAGAAACATGACTTGTGAACCAGGCTGCCCAGCTTATGTGGCATTCGTGACTGAGTGGATAAGAGCGCTGGGAATCTTGACCGTCCCCAGTAGCAGTTTCGACTCCTGCTGACTGCGATCTTTCTCTGTATATACCCGCTTATTTCTGCCTGGTGCATCATATATATATATATATATATATATATATATATATATATATATATATATATATATATATAAATAAAAATATATATATATATATAATATTATATATATATATATATATATATATATATATAATATATATATATATATATGTATGTGTGTGTGTGTGTGTGTGTGTGTGTGTGTGTGTGTGTTGTGTGTGTGTATGTGTGTGCGTGTGTGTCGTGCCGAATAGGTAAAATTGGTCAAGTAGCAAGAACTCATTAAAATTAAGTATTTTAAAATTTTCTCTTACACGTTTATAGATCTTTTGTTTTCATTCATGTTAATTTAAAAATTAATAATTTTTGTCCAAGAAGAACCTTAGAAAACGTCCCTGACCTTAATATAACAAGCGCAATTTAATTGAGCCTAATCCAACTAAATATATTTTTGATAAGTTTACAATAATTTAATAACAAACAAACACAACAAATATAATTTTTTCGTTAGGTTCAGAATGATTTTAGCGAAATTATTGCTTGTACAAATTTTCGCTTGCCTTATTTGGCAAAAAGAACGTTGCTGTTTTAAGCCAAAAATAGCAAGTTTTACCTATTCAGTTGTATACATAAATCCAGGAAGACAGTCCTCTCACCCTCCAGGATATCTTTGGAGATCGTGGTAAGAATCATGGTAGTAACTCACACAATGAAAATCTATTCGTTTATTTCTTTATATTTATTAACTTTTTTGTTTTTCATACCACAGTTCCATCTTGTCTTAAGAGTGTTGTTATAATTTCAGGTACGAGCTGTACAACGTGGACGTGTGGGCAACAGTAGTTGTTTTGCTCGTCATTATCAGCTATGTCTCAGTACGACTTATAATTTCCTTGTGTTCCTGGCTCTTCTCCAAATCCAAGGCCAAAACTGATTAAAATTGCTCTTGCCTAGAGTATGTTTCCTGTCATTCCATTCCATGCACTGTTAGGTCCGAGTGCTTCGATGGGAAACATTGTAACACTATATATATATATATACATATATATACGTATATATATATAATATATATATATATATATATATATATATATTATATATATATATATATATAATATATATATATAATATATATATAAATATATAAATATATATATATATATATATATATAATATATATATATATATATATATATATATCGATGAGGTAATTTCTGTTGCCAAGAATACGTTAATAACATACACTGGATCATTGCATGTTATGAGAGAGTTATCACAGTATCACATAACCTCGGCCTCCTGTTGCCTCAACCCTTGCTGGAAACCTAGTAGCTCCACCTCAGATGCTTAAATAGCACTGCAACTAGTCTCTTAGCAGATCCAGGAGCTGTAGTTCAGTCTTCCTAAGTACTCAGGATCTTCAAATCAGTTTACATAAACCCAGAGCCAGAGATGCATATATTCAAGAAGTCTACCAGCTGCACCTTAACACCTATGAAACACCAAAGCACTGCTGATTAACACTCAAAATTACCAGGAGTTAGAGCTATGAAACAACGTAAAGGAAAATTTATGACGATTTCCTAAATTTAAAAAAAAATCCAAATTACCGACAACTGAAAACCCATATGGGCTATTTAAAAACGAGGCTGATTCCCTTTTATATCACGGAAACGAATATAGTGAACATGCATAAGTACATAACGAAGGAACAGTGCATCAGACTTACTGGCCTAAGCTCAACAAGTCCCCCTCACAACCACTCACACTCGCTCATGTACCCGTTCAACTTAAAATTGAAGCTACCAAAATGTTTTTGTCTCAATTAAATTACCTAGAAGTTTGATCTAAATTTCTTCAACTTGAATCCATTGCTGCGAATCCTGTCTTGTTTATATATTTTCAACACAATATTTATCTCTCCTAGATCTTTCTCGTACTGACTTTGTTTAAGATCTACATTGTTTAACTTATAAGGGCCATAGTTATTTCCTTATCCTAGGATTAGAACGTTCCACTTGTCTAAGTTAAACTGTGTGTACCACTTCTCCGACCACAACTTACCAAGTCATCTGTTTTTCCTTCTAGTGTCCACAATCAGAAATTATGTGACGGGCCTATTTTAGTGCCATCAGCAAACTTACTCACGTTGCTATTTATTTCCAAATCAGTGCGGTTTATGTATATCTTGAACTATAACGGTCCCACCAGCGACTTTTTTGGTACACCACTCGTGAAAAGTCCACATTTCGATTTATTCCAATTATTAAAAACTCCCTGTTGCTATTGGTCAGCCATACCTCGACCCCGGGAGATAATTTTCCTCCAATTCCCTGTGCCGCTACTTTCCTAATCTCCTGTGTGGAACTTTATCAAAGACCTTACTGAAGTCTATTTACACAGTATCGTTTTCTTCATCTCGGTCAAGAATGCCCTTTTGTAGAACTGTGTTGATATTCGTTAATCAAATTATATATTTCATGGTGGCTTCGAACTGCATCGGCAATTACTGATTCCATGAACTTTCCCACAATTGAAGTTAGGCTGATTAATCTATAATTTGAAGTTAAGGACTTCTCTCCCGCTTTGCAAATGGGCATCACATGTGCAATTTTTCACTTATGCGATACAATACCTGTTTGCTGTGATTCATTAAAGAGACTAGCTCATGGTTCTTTACAATCATTTAAAACCCTTGTTTGGCAGAACTAAGTTCAGCAGGTAGTTCCTCTAGTTGGTTCCGACACAAACTGCTTTCCAAAGCATTTCTGGACCATTTCAAGAAAGTCACTAAACTCTAGATTACCTGTCTTTAATTGTTCCGGTTGATATGGCTAAAGTTAAAAATTTCCCATTAAAACTACATTTCATTTTTAAGATGCCTAAGTAATTTCATCTCAGAGAAATTTGCCATGGTCACTATCGAGGTCTGGAGGTCTGTAGATGACAACTAAGATTAGCTTGTCGTGTTCTTCAAGAATGCGCAGCCAAACAGACTCCGTGTCTCTCCCTTCCACCTTTTTTTTTTTTTTTTTTTTTTTTTATATTTTATTGAAAAGACATACATAGTACATAAAAATAAACGACAAATTACATAGTGAAAACAGTGATGAAAAATTCTGCATAGTACATGTACTTTCCAATTAACATATTACATCTGAAAGACAAATCTGTACAGTAAACAATGACCACTCCAATCCTTGAAGTAATGACATTATGTCTGGAACACTAAAACTAACCTAAAGACTCCTTGGCAAGTACATCTAATTCCTGATTGTACATCCTGCACGGAATGTACACCTTACATTTTGAAAACACCCACCCCCCCCCCCCTTCTTGCGTGTCAAGCCACCTGACACGTAACAACTTTTTATGTAACTGAATATTGTATAAAAAACTTTCATTATTCCATATTGAACAACATGACGTTCAGTATCACTCAATGTATTGAGATAATAAAAATTCAATTCTACTGATTCAAGTACAACGTATATCTACTAAACCCAAACATATCACCTTCTCCAGGAAGTATAAAAATATACATATGTTAAAAAACACTTTACAACACAACCAGTGAAAACACAAATACCTAATCCTATGTCATCCATCAATTACCCTATAAATATATCAATTCAATGTAACCTAAACCTACGGGCTCTATAGAGCTCCCATGAAAAAACAATAGTATTAAGAAAACAGGGTAAGTCAAGCTTTCTAAAAATATTTCGCCCATAACATTAAACCACTACAAGAGTAAGTCTGTTAGCACAAAACCAT